GAAAGGGTAGGAACTTGGAAGTTGGTCCTCACCTCTGGGACAGTCCTTTGAAGTGCCAGCAGGGTGTCTTGGGGTGTATGTGCCATTGTTTGTACCTCCTGTCTCTTTGGGAATGTCTGGATGATCTTGGCAAGAACTCTCTGGAAGGACTTGGTAACTAGTTCAGTTGCTTGTGGATTAAATTTGAGTGGCAACCAATCCATCCCCCATAAGCTGAGCTAGGAGAACAGGGCAGGTGCCAGGCCTTGCCTTCCTAGGAGCAAGGCCACCCACCACTGACTGTGACTTGTGCTTCCCACAAGCACTGACGGTGAGGGAGGGAGGGAGGGCAGCCAGAGCCTGTGTCCCTGGGGAGAGGTGGGGTGTTTCTGGCCTGACCTTTGATCTTGGCTTCTTTTGCTCCAGTCTCACTCCTTCTGTGTCCTCTGAGGTACAGTTTTCCTACTTCCAGTGAGTAGGTTTGAGGGCCTAGACCAAGGAGAACTTGAACTACACTTTTTAGGCTACTGAGCCTTTGATGGCCTTGGGAATGTTTGCATAAGGACAACTCCCCACCCGCTTCAAATGTAAATTGCAGTATGTAAATGTCACAGGTCACCCTTCTTCTTGCCAATTGTTTTAACTACTAGATAAAGCTTCTCTCCTGATATGTGAGGCAGAATTGGGCTCTGCCCACGTAGCCATTTACATACCCCTTTCCAGGGGTAAGGTGCCTTTGGAACCCTGGCTTTGGGAGTGGTTTCCCATGGGTCTTATTGTTTCCCACTTTGCATAAAAGCTACCCCCAGGAATCCAAAAGGTAATGGAGCTTTCCTCGCTGTTCATCTGGCTCCCTAGAAACGTCCTCTCCTTTCCTGTCTTAACTAGACCTTCGGAAAGACCAGACCCCCTGGAACCTCTCCCTCCCGCTGGGGAGGCTGGTTCTGGGGCTCAAATGCCAGTGTTTAACCACTTGCTTGTGCATTTAGTGGTGGTGGTTAAATTTTCTATGAATTGAATAAATCATGTTTTTAAAAAAGTTAATGAGGCATTTAATTAATTAACAATGTCGGGTTTATGGCCTTTATGGTTACATTTTGCGGTTAATGGCATTCGGCTTATAGCTGCTTAACAAAATTGTCCAACAAAAACAGTTTGATTTTGTTTGGGAACAGGAGGGCTGCCTTCCTGGTTCCCATTTCTAGCATAGAAAAGGAGCCAAGAAATGTAGTGGGTAGGCAGCGTTGGTCCCGTGTCTTTGCCACTCTCTGTGTTGGTGACAGTGGTGGCGCCATCTCTGAGGCCAGCTAGGAATGTACCTTTAGCCCTCTTGACCCCAATAGACAGGGTCGGAGGGATGGTGGTCACAGCTGGACCCCAGCCCTCTATCCTGGGCCCTTGGCTGGGCCTTTGGAGTCTCCCCAGCAGACCAGGTAGCGGAAGGCCTGAGTGCCAGACCCAGGGCTTCATGCTCATTGAACTTGGGGTTAACTCAGTCTC